CATAAATATTAGCTAAGAATAATAACAAGAATGAAAAGGCAGAAAGAGGGACGCGAGTAAGAAGGGGAAAACTATTATGGACAAGTACCTACTTGCCAAGAAGAACGTAAACTTCATGTATTGCAAACATGTACTACTAAAATAAAATATAAATTAAAAAGTCAGTAATATATTACATGAGGAGGTGATCATATTAAGGAATAAACCCAGGGCATTTGCACTGAGCTACATCACAGCCCTATTTTACATTTTTATTTGGAGCCACAGTCTTCCTTGCCCAGGCAGAACTCAAATTTAGGCTCCTCCTGCCTCAGCTTCCCAGAGTGCTAGGATTACAACTGGTTGCCATCACACCTGGTTTTGAAGTTCAATTTTATACTACCATAAGTTCATATAAAATAACAAGAAGCACAAAATAGCAAAAACAATCCTGAGTAACAAAAGCAAAGCATGAGGCATCACAATCCTGGGTTTGAAGTTATACTACAAATCTACAGTGATCAAACAGCATGTGCTGGCACCAAAGAGGCATGTATAGTTAGGGCTAGAACAGAGGAAGCAGACATAACCCCAGGCACATCCAGCTACCTGATCTTTGACACAGGCGTCAAAAACCTATGCTGGAAGAAAGCAAGCCTCTCTAATAAATGGTGCTGAGAAAACTAGCTATCCACATGGAGAAGAATGAATACAGACCCATACATCTCACAATGTATTCCTTTTTTTTTGTTTATTTTTTTGTTTTGTTTATTTTTTTGTTTTGTTTATTTTTTTGCAGAACCTGGGATTGAACTCAGACCCTTGCGCTTGCCAGGGAAGCACTTATTCCACTGAGCCATCTCCCTGGCCCCTCACAATGTATTCTGAAAAGCAAAGTAGATCAAGCACCTAAATGTTAAGAGAAACTGAAAGATAAACAGGTAAAACTCGAAAACACAGACATAGGCAAGGATATTCAGAACCAGCTCTGATGACACCAGGTATCAACAAATGGCATCATATCAGATTAAAAGCTTTAGCACAGAAAAAAAAAAAAGAAGAAAAATGGCAAAAAGTCATCCTACAGAACAGAAAAAATAATTTTTAAAAGAATCTTTTCTTTATTTATTAATTTATTTGGTACAGGGTCTCGCTGTGCCGCTCAGACCCACAGTGCTCCTCCTGTCTCAGCCTCCCCAGCGCTGGGATTATAAGCATGTGCCACCATGCCTAGTTTCAGTAGCCAGCTCAATGTGGGGCCACCACAGCATGTGGTACCAGGGATTGAACATAGGGCCTGGCACTTGCCAGGCAGGCACTAGACAGCCGAGCTATCTCCCCAGCCCTGGAAAAATAATTCTGCCAGGTATTCCTTGGACAAAAGACTCACCTAGAATATATAAAGACCTCTGGGCTGGGGAGATAGCTCAGCAGCATAATGAAAGTCATGATAAACTTTCTTCAAAAAAACTAGTAAGACTACTTAGGGAAAAAAAAAAACTAATAATAAAAATTACATTTAACCTACTCCCTCCTCTTCTAGGTATCTTCCTGAAAGGGAGGTATGGATATCCACAGCAACACAATCCATAATTGGTAAATCATGGAAATGTCCTTATGCCCATCAAGAGATGAATGATAAAAGAGAATGTGGTATTGTATTCGCACATAAT